TCTGTGAAGCAATGTTCCCAACTCTGACCCACCCCTAGAAAGCACAGCCTGTATCAGTGTCTGAACAGAAGCCGTGGGACAAGTGAAAAGGGGGTTCACAAAGGTACAAATATAAGGTAGAAAAACTTTCCCTCATCCTGACAAAGGGATCTGTACCTTGCCTGCTGCAGGGTTAAAGACAGCACTCTGGGACCAATCTGTGATCCAGGAACCAATAAGTGCAAATGCCAGAGAGCCACAAGAAAGTGGCAAATCATTTTCAGGGATATCTGCATCTCTCTCTCAAGAAAAATACAGTAGGCATCACATACTAGAAGAGATTCCTAAAAATCAGTACTGAGATCAAGCTTTTCCAGCTCAGCAGACTGGGTAGTGCTTGGCACAAAGACACAGAAGATGAATGGTAGTTCCTTACTGCAGTGTCCACTTTTCTGTCCTTTCCTTGGCCATGTTACCCACAGGCTGTCTTTGGTGAAGTTACTCACTGCAAAATAACCCTCTGGGAGGAAGACCTCCTTCTGCAACCACAAAAGACTCACCTTGTACTCGATGTTTCCATCTTCTGCCTGGTCAGAGAATGAAACAAGACAGAAGAGTTAGATGCTGTGCCCACAGAGACTTCTACAGGCACCAGCTGCCCATATATTCTGAAACTGGTGCTGAAGATTTCAATGAGAGGGAAAGTGGCAGAAAGAGACTGTGTTAGGTCCCAGCCTTCTGCCATTATTTCCTACACTCAACTAGAACTTTCCTTATGGTTTGTTTGTTTGTATCCCACATCATGAACACCAAAGGACAAAACTAGAGTGGGGCACAAAGGTAATACGATCCAGGGGGGAATTATTTTCTGGACAGTAAAGAATAGGGCCTGCCTAACAGTCACAGAGAGAGAGAGAGAGTTCCAGTTTCAAAAAGGTACAGGCCAGCATATGATTTAAAGTCTCCCCCCTCACCCATCCATGACCCACAAAATGCCACCCACAGCATCCCACTCCCACCCTATCCAGCAGCTTCCATCCATCGAATGTGCACAGAAACAGGGGCCTGTGAACAAAAGCTTCTGCTTCCTCTCCTGCTCAATGATACTCTCCCTCACTTAATCAGTTTTTCACTGACTTCCTTCTTCATATTTATGTATCTTCTCTGTACAAGGAAGGACTACAGACATAAAGAAGTGAGGTAATGACTCATCTGCCAGCTAGTCACTGGCCAGAGTTCTGGAGAACCAGACCTAGTTGGGACTGTGTGTACACAATATGCTCAGAAGTACTTTTTCAGGGAAGGCCAGGTGGGGTTGTAACAGAAAGGTCTGGGTACTCATCAAGCTCAATTCAACCAAAACAGGCTCCAGCTTATCAAAGAGAATGTCTAATTTTACAATTAGACATACAATATTTAAGTAATTCTTCCCAGTGATTCAGTATAAGGATCACTAAGAAAGGGCTGGAGCCTGCAGGCAGCCACATACTCTGTCAGACTAAATGGGGCTGGCAACAGTAAGCACTTCCTTTTCCTCTGGATACCTATTTGCATGTCAGGAGAGGCAACAGCCCTCTCCTTGCCTTGCAGCTCAGCTCTTAACCACAGCGGTGCTTACAGTGGCAAAAGGCCAACAGAAGTTCTCAACTGTCAGCTCAGTTCTGGCAGCAGAGCTGTGCTGTGAGAAAAAGGCACTTTTAGCAGGTTTTCCTCTCTTGCCATCTACCAGCTTTCCAGTTCTAAGCAAAACCCATTCACCTACTGCACTGTCATCTAAATAAGGGAGTGGGTCTTCTCCAAGGCACTTGAGACTAGAAAAGCAACAAGCCTCGACTTGCTGGGGCACACACTTCACAGGGTAGCCAGAAACAGGAAGCTGAGTTGAAACCCCAGGGGACTCTCCAGCCTCCAGCTGAAAGGAACAAGAACGAAACTGCGGCTGCAGGGCACAGTCCTGCCCGTGGAGAAGATCTGACAGTAGCAAAGCGCTGTTTTCACATCTTCCCAAGAGTCCCAGGCCTGCCTTGTGGAGGAATAGCTCCCTCCCAGCACAGGCTATCATATATTTTACAGAAAGTTCACTGAGAGGGGCCAAGCAATTGAGTCTGAGCCAACGTCATTCTGCCCACAGTGACAGTTCTATGAGAGCGGTGACAACTGCCCCAGCTGAGCACACATCCGCGGTACTACCGATGTCATTCTTCCTGCTGCAAGAGACAGGTGCCTCACCCTCTGTCCACGGCACCTGCAGCCCTATGGAAGGAGCTAGCTGTCAGATTAGCTGGGAAGGGAATCACCGCAACCCGTCTGGCAGCTGGGAAGGGGCTCAGATCCACCAGATCCACTCAGATCCACCAGATCGTCTCTCGGGGAGGGAGGCATGCAAACGGGATGTTTGTAACTACGAGGCAAGCAAAGCTTTATTTTCGAAGCTATTTCGATGGCAGGCGGCAAAGCGCCCACAGACAGACGCCAGGCAATGCGATACGACTCACGGACAGGCTCCGATGGAGCCCGCAGGGACCTCGCTGGCACCAGGGACGCGGGCACGGCCCGGAGGAGAGCCCGGGACAGACGGGCA